TGGATCATGGCTGGACAAACCTGGTGGTGGAATCAGACTCCCAATCGACTGGAAGTTGTAGAAGTTTATAATATATTATCTCCAACAGTTATAAAACTAGTAAACACTAAAGATTGTAATAGAATAAAATGGTAAAGAGGACTCATTGCCGCCACCGGTGATTGTATTTGCTGGAGAGTTCGCGGTGAGTCGGTGACTGTGGTCTGTGAGCTGCGAGCCTAACCTGCGATTTTGACAATGATCACTTGATTAGTTTGCATCTGAGAAAGAGAGAGAGAGAGAGAGAGAGAGAGAGAGAGAGAGAGAGAGCTCATCGCCGCCGCCGGAGTTGTTGCGCCGATGAACGTTCGCCGCCTCCCCGGTTGTGGCTGCCTAAGAGTGTGAGGATGAGAACTGTGGAGTGTGGAGGATGTGGAGATTGGAGATGAAGGGTTCGACTGGAAAAAAGAATGGGAAGAGGCAAAGAGGTCTCGACTAGGGTTTTTACTTAGGTTTAACTATAGGTCGGGCCGGGGCCGGGCTCCAGCTTGACTATTTTGGCAAATCCCGAGCCTGACTCGAATTTATTGTAGGCCGGGCTTTTTGGCCCAAGGTTAAACCCTCAGGCCCATATACCTGTTCAAGCCCATTTGGGGGCCGGGCCGCCCGGCCCATGAACAAGTATAGTTATAGCCCGTTGCACACAGTTGAGACATGGGAGAAGAGAAGATCAGGCCCATAGGTTCCGACTTGTATGTTTTTCAGGGCTCACAATTAATTATATGGGCCCTAACTAGTACATATAATCTGACCCAAAAGAAAGCATACATTTAATTATACATATTTAGATTTTGTAACAGATAATTGCTTGAAAACTTGGCTGAGCAAAATTGGTCTGCATCACCTTCTCCATGACAAATTTTCTCCGCGTAGCAAGAATTATGAATGCGACATGCCCATGGCGTGGACAGATATATAAAAATGACTGACCCAAATAAAAAATAAATAAATTCCCTGAAACCTCTACTGAGTTTTTGACAGTTGCTGAAACTTATCTTGACATTTGGTAATTGCAATTAGTTTCTTTTGGGCTCAGTTTGGAAATAGTACAAATACAAATTTGTAGAGTGCAAAATCTTCTATGTATTTGCACTGTATATATTTGTATACCAGAAATTGAATACGACCGGAGCACACAGACTTCCAATGAGGATTAAAAGATGAACGAGCTCATCTTAGTTGACTACCAGCCCACAATTTCCATCTATTTATACACACACGTAGGACTCTCCCTTTTGTCGTAGAAACAAAACTCATATCCATCTCGATTAGAGAAATGGATACTCCTCACCGTGGCGCCTCTTTTCTCTCTGTTCTCTTACTCTTCCTCCTCGTCTCTTGCTCTCTGCCATCTC